CCATAAAGGTGTTGGATATCTGGTCTATATCAGTCCTGAAGTGTTTTACTTGAATCATTTTCATTTGAAATATCCCCAACATACTGCCGAGAAGTAGCTCGTGTCTTTAACTTGACGACAGATTCTTTATTAAAAAAAAAGTTTCCAAGAGAACACAGCAGCGTGGTTAAAAGAAGGAGTTTTGCAACCAGAATGACCAGGGTTTAAATACTGGATCTGCCATTTACTTAGCTCTGGCATCTTTTTATCCTTGATTTCCTCCCACGCTCCGCTGTCCATCTGTCCACACAGGAATCGGGGAGACTAAATGGAAGGCAGGCTATCTCCAGAATGAAGAAAGCCACGGAAATCACTGAGAACCCCCTACTTTAGGAGGGAGACATTTCCTGCACGTGATGCCAGAAGTCAGTGGCCCTCAACCTGGGATTCCCCAGACAGACAGCACTGATGTCATCTGGGAACTTGGTGGAGCTGCAACTCTCCCAGAGCTGACCCAGAAGCTCTGGGGTGGGGCGCGGGGGGTTTTCACACCCTGTAGCTCCTCCAGGCACACACTGAAGTTTGGGGGCCACAGCCCCAGAACACCTGGGAGGTAGGCAGGGCCCCCCCCCCCTCGGAGCCGGGAAGGAGATTACCAGTAACTTGTGACCAACGAGAACAAGGTGTGAATTCGCTCCCTCAATGAAGTAGAGCAGATTCAAAGCTTTCCCTGAGATAGCATCACTGCCCTTTACCTTCTGACTGGAGAGAAGTGGGCAGCATGACAGAAGCAACTGGACGTGCCCAAATCTCCAGGGACCCCCGCGGAGGCGGGGCCAAGGGTGGGAACATGGACAGTAGGGTGCTGCTGTGGGGAAAAGCTGAAACCCAGCCCCTTCTGTTTTGGCGGCTGGGATCGGGGCCCCCCCAGAGGGCAGGGGAGAGTTAGAGCGGGGTCTAACAGCAGACCTCACCTCCTTGGGCACAGGCTCAGCCCGTCACTCCCGTCCCGAAGTCCGTGTCGTCCAGCAGGTCCCTCCCAGACCTCCCTTCCCTCACCGCGCATGGTTGCCCGAGCACCCTGCCCTCCAGAATGACCCTGACACCACCAACATCACGTCCCAGGAGGTCCAGCGGCACCAGCTTGAGAAGACATCAAAACCACCGAGTTCCAAAAGACAGGAAGCGAACCAACAACCGTTTACAGCACACCTGCTGTACAGAGGGCCCTGCACCCGGAAACGACACTAAAGCCATATACGTGGTCACTGCTTGCTGAGGGTCGGCGAGGAGACAGAACGTCAACCCACCACAACCACAGAGGCCATAGGGGCTCCCAACAGTAGAAGGTCACGAGGCTAAAGAAGGTACCAATCAACAAAATGAGGAGTTCCAGGGGTGAGGGTGCTGTTGGAAGGCTTTATGGAGGAAAAGGGACCTGAGCTGAGTCCCAGGGGCGTTGGTCGGGGGCGGTGACAGTCACACCCGCAAAGGGGCCAGTACCAGAAGGCTCAGCGTGAGAAAGGGCCGCATACACGGAGTTCATAGTCCGTTTTGTTGGAAGGCAGGAAGTCTGGCAAACGTTGCAAGTGTATGTAGAGACGTGGGGGGTGAAGCTTAGAGCCAAGTGGTCACAAACCTTGGAATTAAAAAATGTATACTATAGGCCATGGTTTCCCAATGTGTGTGTTTCTCAGAATATTCTCTTTGTGGAATGTTAATAGATGTTCCGTGACTAAATGGGGTCCGGTACCAATTCCAGTGTGGGGAGCTTTCCCACACCCACAAGCAATTCTGGGGACACCAGCTGCATGTCCTAGAATTCATCAGTCCTGATACCATGTATCCAGAGACCACATCAGATCCCACAGAGGAAGAGCTCCGTCCCGCAGGACTGCTCCCCGCGCCCCCCTCCCCCCCACTTCAGACGCCAGTCGCAGACACACGTTGTCACCCGTACTTCTGACTGCCCGGCCATAAATCAGAGGGTCCCATGACTCCCTCCTCAGGTTCAATTAATTGGCTTGAGTGGCTCACAGAACTCAGAAGCATTTTACTTACTAGATGATCAATTTATTATCTAAAAGGGCAGGACTCAGGAACGGCCAGGTGGAAGGATGTACAGGGCCAGGTGGGGGGAAAGGGTGAGGAGTTTCCACGCTCTCTGGGTGCACCACTCTCCCCGAACCTCCCCATGTCCACCGACCTGGAAGCTCTCAGAATCGTCTCCTTTTGGGTTTTCATGGAGGTTTCATTCCACAGCACGACTGATTCAATCACTCGCCAATCCCCAGCTCCTCTCCCTTCACCGAAAGTTGGGTGGGGGGGGTCTGGTTCTCCTCCCAACCAGCCCTAACCTTAGCTGGAGTCCAAAAGTCACCTCCTTAACATAACAAACAACACCCTTGTTGCTTTCATCATTGAGCAAATTCCAAGGGTTTGGGGAATTTTACGCCAGAAGCAAGCCCAAATATGTATTTCTTCCTATAAACCGTAGTACCCCGGGACAGAACAGTTTTGCAGTCTCCTAGGCCTGACACCTTTGCACAGTCTCCCAGGTACGTTACCGGCAGGACCTCTTGAAATTGTGAATCTTGAAGAGGGAGGTGGATGCGGCGTTTTGCAAACTTACTTCCACATAGAACCCCTTTCTGGGGATGAGTGCTCCAGGTGAGAAACTCGGTTCAAAGATTCCTGAGCGTGGGTGGACCCCGTTCCTGTTGTGGCCTCCTTAGGAGCTCGTTTAAGAATGCAGACCTCCTGGGAGGTCTTGACAGGCCCTCAGAGGCCGAATCATTGCCCCAGGTGAGTGCAATGTGTAATCAAGCTTGGGAAAGACTGGTTTCCATTGTTGCAGCTGAGTAAGTTGGGAGTAAAGGGAAGGAATAATGAACAAAACCCTGTGGCTTGGATACGGAGGGGCCGAGGGGGAGGAGGTCCCGGAGGGAGGAGGGGGTGCTAATGGGTAAGCGAGGACGCTGAGGGGCCACAGAGGTACAAATGGTCCGAGAGTGGCAAGAAAACCTCACTTTAGAGTATAAACAACCTCACACCTGTGCAGGGGCTCCTGGTCTACAAAATATCTTCCAAAGTACCAGCTGTGTCTTCCTTACAAATCCCAGGAGGCCGCTGCTAAGATTATCTCCACCTTTCGTGGTTTAAGGAAATCAAGGCTAAGCAAAGTGGACAGGTGCTGGTTTTCATTGCCCTGTCCCATATGCAGCCTTCCTGCCTGGGGCGGGAGCGACCACAGCTCCCTCCCTACATCCCTTTTCTGTCTAAATTAGCCAGAGTAGGTCTCCATCACTTCCAAGAAGCCTGATTTGAATCAGAAAGGTTAAGTGTGGGCATGAACTCTCCTTTCAAGATTCAACATTCAGCACATCTTCGGCCGTGCCAGGCTGTGGCATTGAAAAGTATAATGAGATCTATTTCAGTCATTATGACAAGGTCAGTGATGATACCCGAGTGGGAATTTCCAGTGGGCTTTTGGAGATGGAGGACCAGTAGAGGGGATAAAAGTCAAGGTAGAAGTGTGGATTTATGAATCAAGTCTACTGAAATCATAGGTGTTAATGAAATATCTTGTAACACAGGGCAAGTTGTGACAGCAAGGACCGAAGCGTCCTGACGATCCGAGGAGTGCAAAATAGTGTGAAAAGTCCTCCTGAAGAGCTTTGGAAAGAGAAGAACGTGGTAAGAAATGTGGAAAGGCCAGACATTCAGGAAGATTCAGAGGTAGAAGTCACTGAAGTGTAGAGGCAATTTCCTAATATAGAATAGTAATATTAAAATAAAACCTCCACTCAGCAGTATGCACTGTATGATCCCATCTTATTTTTTTTTTAATGTGTATATTTGCATGAGTCTGAAGGATCTACATCAAAACACTTGCAGTGATTATCTCTGGATGCTGCAATTTTTTTGTTTCCTTCTTATCTTCCACATTAAGAATTCAAAATTTTTTTCCCAGAGATAATTCATAGACCATAAAACTAACTATATTAAAGTGTACAATTCAGTAGTTCTTAGTATATTCACAAAGTTGTACAACCATCACCAGTACCTAATTCCAGAAACCCTACACCTGTTAGCACTCACACCCATCACTGCTCCCTGACCCAACCTAGGCAACCGCTAATTACTTTCTGGTCTCTCTGGATTTGCCTGTTCTGGGTATTTCACATAAATGGAATCATCCACAGTGACTACACTTATCGAAGTGATCATTTCAGAAAGCACGCACAGGGTGAGTCACTGTTATACACCTGAAACTAACAATGTTGTATTAAAATAATCACAAGAGGGGCACCTGGCTGGCTCAGCCGTTAAGAGCATGTGACTCTGGATCTCGGGGTTGTGAGTTCAAGCCCCACGTTGGGTGTAGAGATTACTTAAAAAATAAATAAATGATTTTTTAAAAAATCAGAAAATACAATTTGCAAGTGATAAAAATAAAACTAAATCAAAAAAATTTTTTAAAAAATGGAATCACACAAGAGGTGTTTTTTTGTGATGCCTGGCTTCTTTGACTTAGTACAATGTATTTATGGTTTATTCCCATTGTACCATCTACCAGTGTATCATTGCTACGTTTTGCCAGATAATATTCTACCACATTTTGCTTATCTACTCATTAGCTGATAGATACCTAAGCTGTTTCCACCTTTTGGCTATTGTGAATAATGCTGCAATGAACATCTGTGGACAAATTTTGTACGGATGTATATTGTTGATTCCCTTGGGTGTGTATATATATACAGATAGGAGTGGAGCTGCTGGGCTATATAGTAACTCTGTATTTAACTTTTTAAGGAACGACCAGTTTTCCAAAGGGTCTGACCGTTTAACACCCCACCAGCAACACACAGGCTTACTAACACTTGTTAACATCCCTTCTTAGAACTGACATAGCACGTGCATTAAAGAGCCGCAAGACCTTTGTTTTTTTTTCCAACAAATTTAATCCTTTTTGTAGTTTTTCTGCAGATGAAATATAAACAGGAAAAGATTCTCTATAATAATAATGATACAAAAGCTGAGATTTATTAGGTTCTTAACCCTGGGAGGGCTCACGTATGATCCCTCTGAATTTTGCAGAAAGCCCTGAGTTTGGAACCTACTGGAGAGATGAAGAACACGAGGTACAGGAGTGAAGTGACTTCATGAGCATTATAACACTGCCCCACAGCCGAAATTCTTAACCGTTGTTGTGACCTCTAAAAACCTGCCTCTCCCTTCAGGCTGTTCATCTGAAGAACAGTTTCAATAAACCACCGTGTGTCATCTACATATTTTCCCGCTGGGGGGGAAAAAAATCCTTCTTGAGACGATTTTTCACAAGTCAGTCAGGGACAATTTATCATACTCTGAATGCTAACAAATTCTGGGGATGCAAAACCTATAGCATATGTATAAATAATTTGACTCAGCGGCATAGGCATTAATTCAATTTTTTTAAAAAATTCATTTTTAAAAAAATGAACAACCTTGTTTCCTTGAGTTGTTGTGATACTTCTTCTCTCCTGGATTTTTTATTGGCTCATTGGTGCCAATAGGAACCGGTTCTAAAACTGATTAGCTCCGAGAAAGACTTTGTAATCAAATAAATCTAAAGTAAGGCATGCTTTCAATTTTGTTTAGAGGGAGATTTTTTTTTTTCTTCCAGCTGCTTTGTTTCCCTGAGAAAGCTTAGTATCTTTTGTGTTCTAAAACACGTCCACTTCTGTGATTTCAAAGGACAGGAGAACAAATTCTGTTTGTAACTGGCCAATTTCAGCTCCTGAGAAAGACCGTGGAGGAAGTGGTACGTGAATAAGATCTGAGTAAAGCATATTATTAGATCTCAAAGAGAATCAATAGAATCTAATGTAGTTTTCCTTGCATTGCATCAATAAAGCAACGTTGTTAGGAAGGCATTACAATCTTCTCTTGTTGGTTTGAACGCTTGTCTTTTTTGTTGTGGTGGCTGATTTGCCCCTGGGTCATCTGTCCCAAGGACTAATTTGTTTCGTTTTGTGATGCATCATTCCTGCAACCATACTGAAGGCTCAGAACACCTGGGGAGAGAAATAGATGTTATTTTTATTATCTGTGCTTTATACATTTTAACCTGGAGAGATTACATGGCCTAAGTCACACATTCAGCGGCGTGGGAAGGCTGGGGCACAGTTCTGCCCGGAGACGTAATCTGCTTACAATCAGGCTGAGTCTTGGGGATCGCAGGCTCGCCCCTTATTTCACTGCTGGCAAAATTTATTTTCTCACAGTTCCGGTGGTTAGAAATCTGACATCAAGATGTGGGCAGGGCTGGTTCCTCCTGAAGCTGTGAGGGAAGGGTCTGTAAGAAAATAATTTCTGTTGTTTAAACCACTCATCCCGTGGGGCTTGGTTAGGGCATCCCCAGCCAACTAATACTGGGGCTGTTGCTACCACTTTACTGATGATAACAGAGAGACGCCTGGTCTTCTGACAGTCAGCCTAGTGCCCCAGGATCACGCCTGTGGGGCTTTACTATACCGGAGCCCGGAAAGCACAGCCATACGAGCCATTTGGTGCTCACAAGCTCCATGTTTAGCTTAGACATGGAGTAAATCCACAGCTCCACTCTCTTCTTTGGTCAGCAATTTTTTTTTTTTAAGATTTATTTATTTATTTGAGAAAGCGAGAATGAGAGAGAGAGAGAGAGTACATGGTGGGGGAGGGTTAGAGGGAGAAGCAGACTCCCCGCCGAGCAGGGAGCCCGGTGCGGGGCTCGATCCCAGGACCCCAGGATCATGACCTGAGCCGAAGGCAGTCGCTTGACCAACTGAGCCACCCAGGCGCCCCAGCAATTATTTTTTTAAAAGATTTTTATTTTTTTTTAAGATTTTATTTACTGATTTGACAGAGACAGAGAGAGCACAGATAGGCAGAGCAGGAGGCAGAGGCAGAGGGAGAGGGAGAGGGAGAAGCAGGCTTCCCGCCGAGCAGGGAGCCCGATGTGGGGCTCGATCCCAGGACCCTGGGACCATGACCTGAGCCGAAGGCAGATGCTTAACGACTGAGCCACCCAGGCACCCCAAAAGATTTTTATTTTTAAGTAATTTCTACACAGGGACTCAAACTCACAACCCCGAGATCAAGAGTCACATGCTCCACGGACTAAGCCAGCCAGGCGCCCCTGGTCAGCAAATCTTAATGAGAGATTTGCAATTTGGTCAACTGGTTGGAGGTTGACTTGAAATCCTACCTCTTCCTCTCCAGTTCTCTTGCCAGGAAAAGTTTCTGCTGGGAAATGTTCACTCCTGTCCGGATTCCCAGAGGCTTCTGCCCCCACCCAAGACCCCTCTGTTTTGACATCCAGTGCTTTTGGGAAAGAGGACCCCTCTGTTCTTGTCAAGCAGGCTGCTCTGTCCTCTGGGGAGGAGTCTTGCTTCTTCACTGGGACCCCAATGCGAGTCTTTGTCTCTGGAAGTGGCGGTGTCCCACTGATGTGGGGGCTGACGGGGTGTATCTCATGGGGCTCTAGGCAGCGGCCCTCAGAAAGTGGCCCACGCAGGAAGCCTGGTTCCTGAGAGGCTCGGTGATGGCTCCACAGGGAGATGAACACAGAGGGGACAGCGAGCCTTCAGCAGCATCCACACCAATTTAACAGCAAGGCTCTGTCAGTGGAATCTCAGAATAAAAGAAGAAATGAGCTCGTATTTCATGTCTTTTTTATGCAATAATGTCATCTTTCTCATCACACATCATGCCCTACTGCAAATAAGAAAACTTCGCCAAGGGTAGTTGGAGAAGCTCAGCCCAGAGGTCAGCATGACTGACGGAGGAGGCACAAAGATCATCACAGAGAAGCACAGAGACCAGGTGTTAAAGACCCATGCCCGACCCTTCACCTTGATGGTACTTGGAGACGGGGCCTTTGGGAGGAAATGAGGTTTAGATGAAGTCGTGAGGGTGGGGGTTCCCATGATGGGATTAGCGTTCCTAGAGGAGGAAAAGAGACCAGAGCTCTTGCGGTCTCAGCCATGGGAGGACGCAGGAAGGAGGTGGCCGTCTGCCAGCCAGGGAGATCCTCAGCAGGAACTGCATCGGCCGGCACCTGCTTGACCTGACGCTTCCAGCCTCCAGGACCGTGAGCGGTCAACGTCTGTCGTTTAACCAGCCAGTCTCTGGGGTCTGCTGTGCCAGCCCGAACAGACCGTGACCCCGGCTCCGCCACCGACTGAGCGAGGAGCCGTGGTTCAGGCAGGCTTCCGCTGGCTGGTGCTGCTGTGGTTTCCCCGGGGTCTTTATCAAACTTGGCCTGGGTTCCCATGCCCTGGCACGACCAAGCCAATTCCCTGGGATGCAAACCTGCCCATACAGGTGCTCTATTGGAAGGCAGGTCCCAGGGGCGCCTGGGGGGCTCAGTCGGTTAAACGTCAGCCTTCGGCTCAGGTCATGATCTCAGGGTTCTGGGATCGAGCCCCATGTCGGGCTCCCTGCTCAGCGCTCCTCCCTCTCTCCCCCTGCTTGTGCTCTCTCTCTCTCTCTCTCTGTGTGTGTCAAATAAATAAATAAAATCTTAAAAAAAAAAAATGAAGGCAGGTCCCAGGGCACATCACACCCCAGTCCCTTCCTGTTGCCTGATGGGGCGGCCACCCCACAGGTTTCTAAAGGAAGGGCTGGTGGCTGGCGATACCTTCCCTCCCACAAAGCTGGTCCCACCTCGAGGCAAGGCTTCCTTTGGGAAGCTCGTCTACTCCTTCCTTAGCAACTTAAAGCTTCCTTAAAACTCCACACAGCAAGAGTTTCCTCCTCTTCAATATGAATGGTAAGTTCCATTTTTCTACATTTGTAAAATAAATCTGTATCCAGAAAAATGCCATTTGTATATAATGCAATCTGCACAAGACTTACTTTTCTCGTTGCTTAAAAAAAAAAAAAAAGGTCCAGATGCTCTCACGTTGAACAGCCATCCCAAGCCTTCACAAGCCTTCACAAGCCTTCACAAGCCTAGGCCTGCAGCTTCGGTCATTCGTTTCTCAATTGTCTTGGGAAAAGTAGGTCAGAGATGGAAGCAGGCGCAGGAGGCAGGGAGGTGTGGGAGAAGGGCCCCGGGAAATGGCCCTGCCATGGACTAGAGTGACCTTGGGCAAGTGCATGAGCCGCCCGGCACCTGGCACCCCACAGGGCTGGGAGAACTGTGACCCCGTGCTTCCTGATGCGTGCTGTTCCAGAGCGGCCCCTCCTGCCCTTTAGATGACAGACGCGCCACCACGTGCCTGGACCGAGCCTCCTCCTCGGCCACCTTCCCTCTCCAGGCCGGCCTGAAAATGGGATAGCAGCCAAGGAGAAGGAGCAGAGAAGAGAAGCCAGGGGGAGCAGTGGCTTCGGGCTCCTGGAGTTTGCTAGATCTTGTCTTTGTTACTACTCCTGGGCATGAAGCTGAGCTCCTGGCCACTTCTCTTTCCTGCCCAGCAAGTAACTGCTTTCCGTCAGCCTCCTGCGACTCCCCTCCCGGAGAGCCCTCCTTCCTTCCTGCCCTGCCCCGGGGCTGCAGCGGGCTCAGCCCCCTCCCCTGCATCCCTGCACACCCCTCCGTCGGCCCTGGTTCTCCCGCCCCGGCCGGTGACACAGCGTCGATATTTACACAGCATTCACGGCAGACAAAGCATGATCTTCCGGCACTAACAGGACTGCTGATTCACTGGCTTCTGAACAAAAACCACCAGATCATGGGTGGGGGGACCTGAATGTAATCCCCCCCCACACACCTCCCCTGTCTGCCCAGGGCCACTGTAATCGGAAAGGCTGCCTCCGGAGGGTGGCGAGGGGGTGTCAGGCACTTGATGTAAACGTGCGTGACCTCCTGAGAGCCTGGCCAACCCGGTGCGGCAGGTGGTGGTTCCGTTTTGATGCACATGGGAAGTGAGGCTCGCTGAGATACCTGGGTGCTAAGGGGATGCCCTGGTGTGCCAACCGGCCTTAAAAAGAAACTCGGTCACGTGCTGACTCAGAGCAAATGCAGAGCCGGTAAGAGGCAGACCCTGTGTGGTGCTAAGGCCCCTCTCCTCCACCGGGCACCCCTGCTCTGGCCCCTGCCCTCGCCTCTCAGTGGTGTAGGCTCTAGGATGCCCGAGCAGTTAGGGAAGGGGGGGACCTGGAATCTGGCGGGGAAGGCCGCCGCCTCGGAAGGGGAGGGGACAGATCATGAGAACCTGGGGTAGTTCTGTCCCCTGGGAAGTATGGTGGGGTGTTAGTTTGCACTGGGTTGGGTTGGCCCAGTAATTTGGGTCTGGATACTTAGTGGGGGTGAGGACAGTGACTCGTCCGTCGGTCCTGCCCCAGATGCCGTGAAGGATCACTGAGCCCCTTCAGCTAGCTTCTTCTTTTGCATGCGCTCCCTCACTGTCTTGACATTGGCCCAGAGGACAAGATCCAGCGCTTCTGGGGTCTGCGGCCTGCTTTTAGGCTGCTGGAGGAGCAAGGCATTCAGAAACCCGTGACCAGGCCTCTCTGTGCTCGGGGCTTTTAATCTCCTTAATTGAAATTGATTGGCCTCTTGGGAGGTAGCTCTGCATCGGCCCTGAGCTTCAGCATGTGATCAACTTTTGCTTCTTTCTTTTAAAAGACCAATTGACACAGCAGGGCATCTAATCTTATCCCTGAATCCCGGGCCCCCTTCCAGATGAGAAGCAGAACCAGAAACAAGCACACTTACAAAAACAGCTCAGGAAATAAAAGCGCCTGATAAAAATAAGGAGAGAATATTCTTGTCCCATTGTGGCTTCGCATGCTACAAAAGGCCAGTCAAAAAACCCCATTACCAAGGAAAGATGTAATCACATGGGGAGGGAGCCATGGGAGTTGGGGTGGGTGCGCCTTCTGAAACTCACAAGACCAACAGACTGGGCTAGAGCATCTCTAAGAACCAGCTGCAAAATAGATAAAATGGGAAGAAAAATGAAAGCCCCTCTTCAATTAAAAGAAAACCAGACATTGAGAGAACTGTTTGAGCATCCAGATCTGCGTTCATCCAGACGCACCACAGTCACCCCAAAGTGGCTGGAGCTGGTTGACAAACCAGTCTGGCAGGTCATATGTCTTGGTGAAGCCTCTGATCGGGCCCCTTACTTACCAGACTGATCGCATATCCCGGGAATAACCCTCTGGGGGCTCCCCTGTGCCTCCGGGGGTTCATTTCACCAACTGGACACGGGGCTTCAAAGCGGCTATGTTGGGGAGGCTTGGGCCACTTCACGATGTCCAAGCCTGGGCTCTATCCCAGCAATAGTGGCGCGGATTAGCACCAGGACGCAAGGAGTACCCTGGAGGAAAGGCAGCACGGCAGTGACAAGTAATCATTATGAGCGACAAACTCATTCTAAGAACATCTTGCTGCCTCGCCTTCTAAAGATCAAGTTGGGGACGCCTGGGTGGCTCAGTTGGTTGAGTGTTGGACTCTTGCTTTCGGCTCAGGTCATGATCTCATGGCTTGTGGGATCAAGCCCCACCTGGGGCTCCGTGCTCGCCGGGGAGTCTGCTTGAAGATTCTCTCCCTCTGCCACTCCCCCAAACTCACATGCATGCTCTCTCTCTCTCTCTCTCTCTCTCTCTCTGTCTCTTCAGATCAAATCTTTTTTTAAAAAGATTTATTTATTTATTTATTTGACAGAGAGAGAATGAGCACAAGCAGGGGGAGCCGCTGGCAGAGGGAGAGGGAGAAGCAGGCTCCCTGTTGAGCAGGGAGCCCGATGCAGGGCTCGATCCCAGGACCCTGGGATCAGGACCTGAGCCGAAGGCAGACGTTTAACTGACTGAGCCACCCAGGCGCCCAGTAAATTAATAAGTCTTTAAAAAAAATGAAGATCAAGTTGCAGGGGATCAAGATATACCACCCCAATATATGCTACCTTGGCATAAGGATTATTTTAAGCTGAAGGCATCTGGGAATCAACAAAATGCAGGAAGAATTCTCCTCCCTCCTCTTTTTTGCCTAAAGCAGGACATAAATTTCCTTTTGTGAAGGTATCCCCATCTCCCATACTAGGAAGAGAGTGACTCTTACCACCAAGAGAGTCATCACGGAGATGAGTCTGCATTAACAGACTTTACTAAAAAAAGCCCCTTCATTTTCCCACACATATCCTCATCACTTCACAGTGTATGGCTCCTTAAAGCCCAAATCTCCTTTCCTTTGATAAAGATGGCATATAAGCCCCCAAAACAGTCTAACCACCTCTTTTCTGTGAACTCCTGTGCAAGAAAAATGTTCATAAAATTTGTATTCCTTTTCTTCTGTTTGTTTGTCTTTGTTGGTTAAATTGGCAGGCCCCCAGGCACTGAACCTAAGAGGACAGAAGAAAAGTTTTTCCTCCCCAACGATATCAAGACATCCAGATTGAAAAAGCAGAGATCTAGCTCGTTTGCTGGAGAAGCTCCATTTTCAAATAAATTCAAGTTGAGAGGGGTCCTTGGTCTCTCCCTTCCCTAGCAGCAGGAATGGGTTGTAAGGATGAAGGAGAGGGTGAGCTCTACAAAAATGAAAGATGTAGCTGTCCCCGTCATCACAGAGTTAGTGTCTAAGGGTGCTTAACACACGGCAAGCGTGCACTATATCAACGGATGAATGGATATCGGATGAAATATCCAAAATACGATTGGAGCAAATGCATAGTGTAGCGGGTAAAACTGCAGTTTGCCGAATACGGGCTCCCATAAAATAATACCAAGACAACCTGTCGATAAGGCACAGCTCTTGGCGTGAAGAGAGGTCACCTCTTGGCTGGTTTTTTTTTTTTTTTTTTACATTTTATTTTTAAGTAATCTCTACACCCAACATGGGGCTCAAACTTACAACCCCAAGGTCAAGAGTCACACACTCCCCTGGCTGAGCCAGGCAGGTGCCTTCTTTTTAGCAGTTTTAACAGTGTCTCCAAGTGGGGCTGCCGAAGTCCGGACATTAATCACTTATGGTGGGTGTTCCGGTGTGGGGTGGATTAGGATTGACTAAGGCTCATGATATAGAAGTTCAGGATTGTGGGCACAGCAAGGTGAGTTAAGAGTCATTTACTGTTATCTTTTGAAGTTAAGCAGTTTCAAGTGGGTTTGGGCAAGTTCCTAAAACAACAGCTATTTGCAACTTTTATCTTTGGCAAGTGTTTCTGTAATAATAAAATTATATTGGTAAAGATAGTGGAATTAAGTCACGTTTTTAGTGAGCAGCCACATCGCTGTAGACGTATGTGACCTAGGTGGGAGTTGGTGGTTTCCGTCCTCAAGCTAAAGAGCTTACGTTAACCATTCTCCTTCTCAAGCACGACATAAACAGACAAGTAGACCGTGTTTGTCCACAGGCCCTAGGATAGGTGTGGTGGCTTATTTCTGGCTATAGTGGGCTGATAACATATTGAACCACCCAGGGTGGAGAGGTAATTCGGGTTATGTCTTAGACTGTGATATCCTCTGAAAATAGCCCTGAGAGAGGACCAGGTGTATAACTTGAAGAGCCTAATGCAAAATGAAAATGCAGGGCCCCTTGTTCAAAAACTAAGAATGTCAAAGAGTTTGGCCGTTCCTCAAAAAGCTAAACACAGAATTTCCATGACCCAGCAATACTACTCCTGGGTGTATACCCAAAGAACTGAAAGCAAGGACTCGAACACATATCTGCACACCCATGCTCAATGTGGCATTATTCACAAATAGCCTAAAGGTGGAAACAACCTAAGTGTCTGTCAACAGAGGAATGGATAAACAAAATATGGTCTATACATACAATGCAATATTATTCATCCATAAAAAGGAATAAAGTTATTTTTTTAAGATTTTTTATTTTTATGTAATCTCTACACCCAAAGCGGGGCTCGAACTCACATCCCTAAGATCAAGAGTCACAGGCTCTACTGACTGAAGCAGCCAGGAGCCCCAAAAGGAATAAAGATCTGACGCATGCTATACCATGGATAAACCCTTAAAACATTATACTAAGAGAAATCAACCCAACACAAAAGGACAAATATTGTATGATTCCACTTACATGAAATGTCCAGAATAGGCAAATTCATAGAGACAGAAACTGCATTAGAGGTAATCGGGGGCTGAGCGGAGGAGGGGAGCCGGGAATGAAGGGTTACCGCTTAATGGGTTTAGAGTGGCTATTTGGGATGAAGAAAAAGTTTTGACAACAGATAGTGGTGATAGTTGCACAGTCTTGTGAATGTAATTAATGCCATTGAATTGTACACTTTAAAATGGCAAATTTTAGGGGCACCTGGGTGGCTCAGTCAGTTGAGAGTCCAACTCTTGATTTCAGCTAAGGTCATGATCTCAGGGTCCTGAGAATGAGTCCAGCATTGGGCTCCACACTGAGCGTGGAGGTCGCTTAAGATTCTGTCTTTCCCTCTGTCTCTCCCTACCGCAGCTCGCATGTACGCTCTGTCTCTAAAAAAAAAAAAAAAAAAAGAGGCAAATTTTACTACCCAAATGTCCATCGTTAGACGAATGGATAAAGATATGGTGTACACGTACACACACACGATGGAATATTGCTCAGCCACGAAGAATGAAATCTTGCCATTTGTGACAACACGGATGGAGCTAAGTATTATGCTACGTGAAATAATACCGTATGATTTCACTCGTATGTGGAATTTTAAAACCAAAACAGATGAACAAAGAGAAAAAGAGACAAACAAAAAACCGGACCCTTAACTATAGAGAACAAATTGGTGGTTGCCAGGGATGGGGGGGTGGGTGAAATAATAGATAATGGGGGTGAAGGGGCGCGCTTGTTGTCATGGGCACCGGTGATGCATGGAAGGGTCGGATCACTGTATTATACGCCTGAAACCAACATAACACCGTATGTTAATTATACTGGAATGTTTAAAAATGGCAAATTTTATGATACGTTTTATTTTTAATTATGGTACAATACTGTTATATATATTTTACCACAATAGAAAATTTAGTGGGGCACCTGGCTGGCTCAGCTGGGGGAGCGTGCAACTCTTGATCTTGGGGTCATGAGTTCGAAACTCACATTGGGGGTAGAGATAACTCAAAAATAAAATCTTAAATATATATATATATATATATATATATACATATACACACACACACACACACTAAATAAGAAAAAAAGAATTTCAACATGGCAGCAACAGAGCATTAATCAAGGGCAGGTCCCTTCTGTGCCTGGGGTTCTATGTGAAGCCAGCCCTGACCCTAAGAGGACAGAGACCCTCAGATTTCGGGGGCATGTCACATTCTAGAGGCTAAGGGCCTACATCTGGGCCACGGGAAACCTAATGAAAGACAGATGCCTTGCCACCTTTGCCACACAAACCTTAGATTACAAGCCCTTGATCTGGGGTTTCCTGAGCAGAAAGAATGCCCTTCTTTTGAGCCAAACCAAACCTGGGCACTAACAAGGTGAACCTTCTGAGCCCTGCAGCCATCT